GGGTTTCCAGCCCTCCCCTAGAGATATATGTGTTTTTCCTAGCGTCAGTGTAGGACAGGAGTGCGATTTCCTACTCCTTTCCCTGTAGCCACTGACCTTTGCCCTGGACTGCCCTAGACAGTTTTCTGCCTCTCCCCCAGGGGCAGCTGAGTTCTGCTTCATTTGAAGAAGGGTCCTGCAGCAGGTAATTTCTTGCCTGCCTCCCAGCATTATCTGGTCATTGTCTGCACTCCTGTACCACCGAGGTGGGCTCTGTCGGGGCTTCTGTCCTGCCCCCAATATTTCTTGTGAGCACCTGATGAAGGCCCGTGGAAAGGATCTGGAAAATGGGTTTCTAGTGTCCTTATGTGAGGGGTTTCCAGAAATTCTAAACTCTCACATTAACCCACATTCACCCTTTAAAAATGTGTTAGCATTTTAGTTGTTTTCTTCATTCCTGCTTTTATGACTATCAACTCTTCCTCTTGTCACTGCCAAAGGACAGTTCATGTGTCTTATCTTTCCTGAAGGGGCTTGTTATCCTCTGGAATTCAGTTCCTCTGGTTTAATTGCAATCTCAGATCTCTGATGGACCTAAAAAATGTTATGATTTTATGAATTTTCCATCTTTCTGTCATTGTTAGGATGGGGGCAACATTTTCCTGTGGCTATCTATATCTTAAGAGAAAGCAAACTGATTTTTCTTCTCCCTGCCACCACCACTCTCCATTCCCCTTCTGTGCCTTGTTTTTCTTTATAGTATTTAAAATTATCATTATATTGTATTTATTTATTTATTGTCCATCTTCCTCCTCAGAGTGTAATCCTAGTAAGGCAGAATATTTGCTCATTTTTCTGTCTCTAGCACATAGTAGGAACTCTAAACTTGTTGAATAAATGCATGTATGAATGCCAGAGATCATGACGTTTTCTTTAGTATCTTGTATTTGCTCATTTTCATAAAACTGCCCTTCTTCTGAGGCTCTTCTCTCCCCCTTGTTCTGCCATATTTTTCATACGTCCCATTTTGATTATGTTCTTATTCATCCTTTAGTCAGGCAAACCTATTTGCACTCAGTATCTCTGTTCACATTGATAACAAAGAAGTGAGGGGCTTGTCCTTGGGACTCCTTTCTGTTTTCCGTTGATTTAGTCTGCCTCCTCTCCCAGACCCACACCTGGCCTGCAGGTGGTTGTGTGCCACTGCTAGTCTAATCTTTCATCCTAGTAGGCTTTCACCCAGTGAGTTTCTGCCCTACTATGTGAAGAAGGTTCTTCCCCTTCCTCCCAAGGCCTGAGTCTTTGGTAGTTAGGGCTAATGTGTGCCTCACAAATAAAGTCTACATTTCTGAGCATTGCCGTTCCCATTCTGCCTTCCTAGTTGTTTTTTCATTTGTTTGCTTGTTTTTTTTAAATAACTTGTTGGGGAGAAGAATTTTCTTTTTTCTTTTTTTTTAAAGGTTGGCACCTGAGCTAACATCTATTGCCAATCCTTTTTTTTCTTCTTCTTCTCCTCCCCAAAGCCCCCCAGGACATAGGTGTATACTCTAGTTGTAGGTCCTTCTGATTCTGCTGTGTGGGACGCTGCCTCAGCATGGCCTGATGAGTGGTGCCAGGTGTGCGCCCAGGATCCAAACCTGTGAAACCCTGGGCCGCCGAAGCTGTGTGCGCTAACTTAACCACTTGGCCACAGGGCTGACCCCCTTCCTAGTTGTTTCGCTTTGGCTGCTATTGCTGTTACTGTTGTTTTAATAATTTTTACTCTTTACTGCATTTGGAAGAGATGGTGGTGAAAAGGAAGTTGAAGGGTGGGGAACTGGTCAGTGCTCTGCCTGCCTCAGGGAGCAGCACGTGAGGGGGCGCAGATGAGTGGGTGCCCCACTTCTCTGTTGGTTCTAGGCCATGTTATTGCTCCAGGGGCTCCACATCTGGCAACAGAGGCAGTGAAGGGACTGCACATTTTCCTTTCTTTTATGAGATGATTCTTTTTCATGAACTGGAGTTTACTATGTCTCTGGGTAGTCTGTGCTTGTTTTGTTTGCTTAAATAAGATCCAAATGTATTAAAATTAACGTTCATTTCTGCCTGACTCTGACATGAGGCATAACAAGTTTGTCATGTTTTGCTGGGTTATCCTTTGTGAAGTTGCATTAAAGCATGCTAGCCAGACACCATGTTGAATAAGACCTCATGCACTATTATTTTCTAAGTAAATGTAGAAACTCTTATGATAAGGAAAATTCAGGTTCACTAAAAATGCTACTAAATTAGAAGAAGCTTTTTGTCATCACCTAGTTTTTAAATCAATTAATGTTAAAATTACAGCTGCTATCTCAAAGTGGCCCCCAATATATTTAATGATTTAAAAATATGTATATTAAAACTAGCTTTGATAATCCAAATGGTTTATAATCATTCTTCCATAGCATTGTGCCAAAGACCTTATCCTATGGGATATCATTTAGTTTCCTATCATTCAAAACCATTTTCCCCATCTTCTCACTATTTAAGTAATAATTCTGGATTGGAGAACAGTGGTTTTTCAGAAAACATAAATGATTGGAAAACATAATGACTGGAAAACAACCTCAATTATTCTGAAGGATAAAATAATAGTGTCTGGATTTAGTTACTCTTATGTGTTATCTGAGAAAAAGTTCATTAAAACACACTTTGACACTTTAATCCACTGGAACTTTAACTTCATTGGGAAAATGGTTCTGAGATTGGTGATAACGTTGACTAATTGGTTGGTTCATACTACATGGGATTACACCACTTTCTGAATCAGAATTTCCTACTATTGCAACATATTTTTTCTTTACTCTTTTTTTCCCCCTTAGAAACAATCCATTTGGGTTCATTGCATGGCCATTTGTTAGTCTGAGGCATTGTGCTTGTTTGTGACTACGATGAAGTCATAGTGGGCTGAGCCTGTCTGTGTATACAGAGTCAATGGGAGATCCTGCAGCTGCTCAGGGAAGCAGACAGTGCAAGGGATCACCTTGATATTTCAAACCCAAAATCCTGCTTTCCCAAAGACATGGGTATTTTCATTTTAATCATCAAGAAGAGTTGTTCAACTTTGGTTTGCTTACTAAATGCTGTACATAGACATCAATCTATTGTACTTTCTTAAAACTTTTTATTGAAGGGTAATATTCTCAAAGTGCATAAATTCTAAATGTATAACAAGATGAATTTTTACAAATTGAGCACGCCTGTGTAAGTGATACTCAAATCAGGAAACAACATGACCAGTACCCCAGAAGCTCTCCTTGTGCCCTGTTCCTGTCACTAATCCTCCTCACCATGGGTAAGCATTCTCTCATTTTGCTTGTTTTTATATTTTATATAAATGGAATTATACACAACGTATTATTTTGTGTCTGGCTTCTTTCCTTCTTCATTACGTTTATGAGATTCATCTACACTTATCATGTATTGTGGTTGTTCATTCTTACTCCCGTGCTGTGTTCCACTGATTAATACAACACAATTTATTCATTCTTCTGTTGACAGACATTTGAATAGTTTCCTTTTTTAGGGTGGGATGGGGGCTATTATGAATACTTTATGAACTTTCTAGTACATCTCTTTTGGTGAAAGTATACATACACACACACATTCCTGTTGTATATATAGCTAGGAGTGGGATTGATGGGTCGTAGGGTATGCATATGTTCAGACTTAGTAGATAAACCAGTTTTCCAGATGGTTGTAAATACTTACATTCACATCAGCAATGTATGAGAATTCCAGTTGCTCCACCTCCTCACCAATATTTGGCATTTTCTGCCTTTTTCATTTTAGCCGTTCCAGTGGGTATGTATTGAATGTGGTTTAGTTTATATTTCCTTGATGATAATGAACCTGAGCACTTTTTCATATGATTATTAGTAATTTGTATATCCATTTTTTGTGAATTGTGTGTTCAAGTCTTTTGCTCATATTTCTATCAATTGACTCTCTTTTTGTTACTGTTTCCTAGGAATTCTTTATAATGTGGATATGGATCCCTTGTTGTGTTATGCATTGCAAATATTTTCTCTTCCTCTGTGGGTTGCTTTTCCACTCTTGTAATGGAGTCTTTGATGTACAAATATTCTTAATATTAAAAAGTCCAATTTATTATTTTTTTCTTTAGTTTCTTTAGTTTTTCTATAGTTTAAACTTTTTGTGTACAGTTTAAGAAAACTTTTCCTACTCCAACTTGACAGAGCTGTTCTATGCTTTCCTTGAACATCTTTATTTAGATTTAAAATTCATCTGACTTGATATTCATATATTGTATGATGTAGAGATCAAGATACATTTTTTCCAAGATACATTTTTCTATATCCTATTAACCTAGTATCATTTTACTTGGTTTTTAGCTTGTTTAAAATGTGTCCATAAAATTTAGTTCCACTGAAATTTTTTTATATTTTCCTGGGGAGAATTACTAATGATTCTTGAAAAAAAATTATGCCTATGGTGATTTAAAATTTATAATACAATCTACAGGTTTATTTAGCACTAATGTAAATTGAAATCTTTCAACACCAGATGGATTTATTATGCACAAATCACAATCATTTTTTAAAAAATAAATAATTGTTCTCACTTTTTCATTTGAATTCAATTCAACTCATGTTGATTATATATCTGTTAAAATTTGGGACAGTTGAGAATGGGGTTGAAGTTTGGAGCTCCATTTTTATGTCATTTAGGTTTTAAGTCATATAATGAAGTTTTGAAAGATACGTCAGCAATAAACCATCTTTTTTTAATATTCAAAATTATGTTAATAAAGAGAAGTATAAAGTGAGAACTTTTATTACTATTAGGATGAACTTAAACACCTCTTATGTTACGCCTTTGTACTAAGTTTTCTGCTAGTAATGACACAGATCTTTAGGATGTGAAAACAGAGAAGAAAATATAAAAGTTTCATTTCTGTATTGGGAATGCCTGTGAATGCTTCCTCTTTGAAGTCATTTCTGCTTAATCCTTTTTTGTCTTTTTATTATTTGTTCTAGGTTGTACTCGTCAGTGGACATCTGGACAGCTGGGACGTTGGGCAGGGTGCCATGGACGATGGTGGTGGAGCCTTTATTTCATGGGAAGCACTCTCGCTTATTAAAGACCTTGGTAAATATTTAAAAAATCATTAACCAATGTGTGAGGGTCTCAGTAGTGACATGTTTAACTCAACACACAAAATACTCAACAGATTAGTTATTGTGGTATGTTCAAAGATCCTCCTGAGGTCTATATGTTTTTTGTCAGGGGATTCCCAGAAAATAACTAATTTGTCTCCTTAAAGAAGAAAATTTTTATTCAAGTGTAGGCCAGACTTCCAAAGTATCAAATATGATCAGCCACTGGGGAAAATGAACAAGCAAATGAAACTAGAAAATTTAACCACATCAGTCAGAAACTATGGAAGGAAACCATGATCAAGTGCCAAGAAAAATCAGCAGCTCCTCCTGCTTCCTTTTTCTTGTTCATCTTAAAGACATTATCAGGGTGTTAGGATAGCTTTACTGCAGTCGTGTTTCCATGACGAAAGTCAAAGAGAGCAACATAGGACTGGAGGCATGATTCCTTTAGTCACAATGAAGAATCCAGGCTGCAAAATCGGACCTTCCAGGTAAACCTAGACATGGGGAAGGTGGACTGGCATAGAAAGGAAGGGCCAATAGTGAAAGCAGTTTATTTTGATGACCTTGTTTGCAAACAGAAAACGTGTGTTTTTTTCTTTGTGTTCTGGTCAAAAAGGTGGATTTTGAGTGAGGTTAGAAATAATGGAACAGTCTTAGGCGAGAGTTCCATGTCTGAATCAGAGCAGCGGCAGTTTAAAAATGCCTCATCAGCAGAATGTTTTATGTCATTACTATGGAGTAACCTCAGTTTCAGACATAGTAAAAATCAGAACAGTCCCTTTGGTGAAGGCTTTACATTGCTGACGTAAGCACATATGTGTTTAAATTCATGCTTTTCCTCCAGCTTTTAATGAACCCTCTCATCCTGTAAATCGGCCCGTTAAATAATTGTTCATCTTAACAGTAGATTGCTGGGATTGTATTGCTTGGGGAAAATCTTTGGTGTGCCATTTGGATTTATGCCTGACTTGTGTTTTAAAAATGGAAAAATGGAAAGGTGGTTGTGAGGTTTTTTGCTTCTAAATAGGCCAGTGTCTCTCAGCCTTGGCACTGTTGACATTTGGGACCAGATAATTCTTTGTTGTGGGATCTGTCCTGTGCATTGTAGGATGTTTAGCAACATCCCTGGCCTCTACATAGTAGATGCCTGTAGCACCATCCCTCCCTCAAGTTATGACAAACCAAAAAGCTGTCTAGACATTGCCAAATGTCCCCTGGCAGGGGTGTGTGGAGGGACACATAAAATTGCCCCACTAAAATAAATGAATAAAAAATCTCTAGGAAACCTGAACACAGGGTCATTTATTTTTGAAAGAAAACAAACTAATTGGAAACCTTACATTGTAGATACTTACACTTTTAACATCATTATCATACTGAGCACCTACTATGTGAAAGCACTTTGTAAAATCTGGGCATGTAGAGAGGTTGCAAGCATGTCCTCTGTTCTCAAGACCCTTAGAATAGAGTTGGAGACATACACATGCACCTATACACATAGTTATCAAAATAGACATAATTTCAAGGCCTACTTTTAGAATTGGGTAAGGCATGAGAGATTGTCCAGCAAATACAACCAAAAAACACACATTCCTTTAGAGAAGATCTGGGAGACTGTATGTGAATTCTTTCCTCTTCCCCCTTCCCTTAAAAATATCCCCTTGGCTATCATCTCTGTCTTTTTTTTTTTTTTTTTTAAAGATTTTATTTTTTTTCCTTTTTCTCCCCAAAGCCCCCCGGTACATAGTTGTGTATTCTTCGTTGTGGGTTCTTCTAGTTGTGGCATGTGGGACGCTGCCTCAGCGTGGTCTGATGAGCAGTGCCATGTCCGTGCCCAGGATTCGAACTAACGAAACACTGGGCCGCCTGCAGCGGAGCGTGCGAATTTAACCGCTCGGCCACGGGGCCAGCCCCAATCATCTCTGTCTTTAAGTCTATTCCAGGATGAAGTGGGTTCTAGAGATGAAGGAGGCAGATAGCAAACATTTCCCTCTTTATTGGGCATATATATTTATTTTGGAAGTTAATTTTATTTTAGTTTGTTCACCCAGCTTGATTGGAAGCGGAGTGGTAGAGTGAAAAGAGAACTGGACCCGTCTGAATTGGATTTCAGGTCACTCTTTGTCACAAACTACTCTTTTGACCTCAGGCAGGTCATTTGAACTCTCTGGGCTTTGTTTTCCTCATCTCTACTCGACTGGACTGTAAGCTTCCAGAGTATTTTATCTGCTCTAGGTTGGAATAAAATTTGTGTCTTCTCTAGGCTTTGAATCTTATTTCTTTAGTACTCAGCATGGGACCCTAAATCACTGTTAACTGAGTTGAATTCAATTGCATAGATAAATGTCAAACAGCATGCAAATGTGCATTGAGTATTTTTTTCCAGGTCCAAAAGTACACCAACTTCAGTTGATAGGTAATGATCAGTCTCCTTCATTTCAGGACTTAACTCTCCTATATATTTCTGAAAACCTATGTAAATATGTGAATGAAAGTCTAAAATAGAGAGGAATATTTCCTTTGAGTAGGTGTTAAGAGGCAGCATGGCATATTGTTAAAAAAGCACAGACTCTGGAGCCAGACTGCCTGGGTTCAAATCCAGCTCTGCAACCTACTAGCCACGTGGCCTTAAGCAAGTTACTTTTTTCTCTCTGTGCCTCAGTTTTCTTATCTGGGAAACGAGGATAATAATAGTTCCTGTCTCATAGGGTTACTTTGAAAATTAAATAATCTATGCACATAATGTACTTAGAATGGCACCCGATCAGTACTCAATAAATGTTAACTTTTATTATTTAATAAGCATGACTCTGACAGTACTCCATTTTTTTATGTAAGGGAAGATAATAATTTTCTTTATCCCCACCCCCATTAGTGATTACTTTGCGTCCTAGCCTAATATGTTTGTTATACTGATGTAACTCCAGGGCCAGCTGCTACAGTATCCCTCAATATCATTTCCCTTTACTATTTAAGTTGCCATCCTTTGTCTTATGGAAATCCAGTGACCCCTTCACTTTTTTCCACTTTCATACTAAAATCTCAGGAGTCTAAATTTCTCCTGTCACTTCTTGCATCTACTTCCTACTTAGGTTGAATGCCCAGTCTCCACTCTGCACCTCACTTCCTGTGATTGCACCCCTTGAGTATTACTCTTAATTTTAATATCAGAATTAGATTGTGGATTTCTATTTGTAGATTGCCTTTGTGTTTTAATATGAAGAACTGGGTTCAACATGTAATATATGAGTTCTAGATGAAAATTACTGATATACTTAAATAAGAAATAGGACTTTGGGCTAGAGGACAAGAAATGGGTTCATAAATATATTACTTAATTACATTGAGCCCAAACTGTTTAATTGGTGAAATATGAAAGCTCTGTGGCAATCTCTTTTTCCAAGAAACGTGAGACTCCTTTTGGCTGCTGTTCTTGGACGAGAGGTCATGCAGCATGCATATCAAAGTGCCTCAGTGGGGCTTGTTAATTTGAAGCATTGGTCCAGTGGGGCTTTCTGATATTTAGGAATATTGTTCTAAGATTCATCCTGCTTGTCTTTTCTCCTTTGTTCTCTTCTTTCACGACTCTTACAGAGTCACTGTTTCTGCCCAAATCATCAGCTAAAACTATATTTGATTAATCTAACAGAAGAGATATTTGTGCTTTGCAAATATAATCAGTCATTCCTGAGTATCTGTCAACAGAAGGCTATTTACTATGAAATGCTATTGAGTACTTTTTTGTGTTTGTGGTTTACTGGACTTGAAACTGTTTGTTTGAAATGTCATTTCCTGGAATGTTCTAGTGTCAGTGGACAAAGCCTATGGCCAAGGATGTTATGCTTCAAAATGTTCATTTGGCACTTGAAAAATAAACCACCATCCATCCTGAAATTCTTCCAACTTTACCATTTTCTCTGAAGTTAGAATTTTGAGTTTTCAGGCCTAAACAAAGGAAAAAAACTTATATTTAACAGTACTACCCGATTGTTGAAATGTGGAATATATGTAAAACATCTTTCTACAGAAATTTGAATGTGAACAACCTGATTGTGATTATTATAGATCTTGGAAGTCCATATATTAGAAGAATATTTTATTTATATGTTCTTTCACTCATATACTCAACAAATATTTATTGTGCACTGACTACATGTTAGTATGCCAGATGCCCTGTACCAAAGAGGTCTGAGACATGGTTCTTGAAATTCTTGAAGTGGGAGAGACATTTAACTCAAAAATTGCAATGAAATAGTTATAAATTCTTTAACTGAAATGTGTACAAATTACTTTGGGCCCCTGGTGAAGAGAGGGTCAACCATGGCTTGGCTGGCTCAGAGCACTTTCACAAAGGTGATATTTGAGCTTTCTTTGGTCAAGATAAATAGGAATTTCTGAAGTGAAAGGGGCACAATGAAGAATTCCCAGCAGGGCATAGAGCTTCCAGTCCTGCACATCATTAACGACGAGGAAAAAGTTGTTGACAATAACAGTCTTGGGGTTGTTGCGGGTAGAGGCTTTGTAGAATTGCAAGAGATGTTCACTTTTTACCTGATATATTTATAAAACATCAGATGTTTTAATAATAAGCATGTGTTACTTTAGTAATCAAAAAAATCCTCAAAGACCAAAAAAAAAAAAAGCAAAAAGAAAAGGGAGATTCGAGATTCTTGGTATTGCTATTACCATAAACACTTACCAGGTACAACAGGGCAGAGGTAGGAAGTAGTAAGAGTCATACATACAGGAGTCACCAAGCCTTCCAGGCTCAGCGTATACCAGGGAGCACAGCCTAATTAATGTATGTGAAGGCTTTGGTGTCGCTAGAGCTTTATGCAGTCATTTCTAATGCAATGGGTTCTCTCTTAGAGGTGGGGATCCATCCAGGAAGAGGGTTTCGTTCTCCCAGGCCCTGGTCAGGCCTCCATTAGAAAAGTCTCAGCAAGTCCAATCCAGAATAACTGAGCGAGGGAAATGAACAGCTTC